ATTCAAGTGTAAAATCAGAATAAAGAATCGATTTGAAGGTTTTATTAAGTCGATTATTAGTTCATATTTTGTAATGATAGCTAAGTCACCTTTGTTTATGGGGTTTTCTTGTTCTCAAAAAAGGAATATATGAGTAAAAACAAATAAGATTAATAGAATATATCACAAGTGAAAAAAAAAGAGTGAAATGTATGCTTTAAGGGTAAAAAGACCATCTGTACTTTCTAATTTAAATTATGCTTTTGATAGAAATGATGGTGGGGGTTCTAGTTTAATAAGTGAGCTTAAATTTGCCTAGCGTATATAAGTGGAATATATAATTGGAGCTAGATTTAAAGTCTATCGAAAATTCATTCTTATTAATAGCAGATCTCCGCTTAGTGACCCTCACCTATTGTAACCAAAATAAATATCCAATTTTCTAAAATTCAATGAAATGAGCCAAAGCACAAGCTAGAATATCAATCAGTTCTAATGAAGTTTGGTCACTATTGCAATAGGCATTGGTAGTATCGAAATATGCTAATTATAAATATGGTAATTTTGTTGTACAAACAGTCTATCCATGTCTAAAGGATATAAATGTTTGGTCTATTCGCATGCCCTTGAGGTAATGTGTTCTGGTACCTTCATTTAGTATAAACAATCCTTTTATATTTTGGTGCTCTGTTGGTCATTAGGATCGAGTATAGATATAAAAAGTATACTCAAGGGATAAGCAAGTAATCGCAAAAAGACTTGATGAGAAGTCCTGAAACCTAGCAAAATCTATTATTGTAGTGATTATTGAATTTTCCTTGAGTATAGCGAATGAAGTCCCTACCTCAGATTCAATCGACCATCCTATTATCATTAAGATATTTAAGAAACGTAACGGAAAAATATTCAAATATATTGCTTAATAAACGAATAGTAATTTCCGAAAAGTCCAGTCTTCAATAAAAGCAGAGCCTACAATTATACATATATAATAAAGGGAGGAAGAGTAGAGAATTGGCAAATGAAAAATAGATTTTATAGATTTAAAAGATAAGCTCAGGAAAAGATCATCGGAAATTCGTTATCAATGTTAAATCATCAATGAAAAAGAAACCAGAATAAATCCTTTTCTGTACATCAATTTGACTGACTGAAGCATCTTGAATGGGCTACACTTCAAATAAAAAACAGGCAGGAGTTTATGTAAAATATTATGGTAAATCATAGATTATCTGCTGTTGAATAAGATTATACATTTGCTTTTCCAGAATTTCTAAAGTATAAGAAATGAGTTGTAACTCTATGCTAACGATGGCCTCTTTCATTGACGATGCCAGCGAACGTTTGGAAATGTAACAAGTCAATGGGCTGAAGATGGAAATCACTAATACTATGGCAGAGGAAACAGGACTTGGTACGTTCCACAAGGTCTCTTTGACGCTTAAGCAATTTACGAAAACGAGGTCGAACCAACATTATTAACGAGCAAAGTTTAAGTGTCATCATCCAATAGTCTGAAAGATTGATGTAAGAAGCTTACGTCGCTGTCTGTCGACACCAAGAAGGCGACTTATGTCACCAAAAAGAAGAGACCAGGTGGCTTCTAGGAACGCCTCCTGTGTGGCTGGATGGTCAAGCATTTGGCAACGATGGTAGGCCAGACGAAGCCTTGCTACGATCATCTCGCCTCTAGAATCTCCAGAAACATCACCAAAATGTACAGATGAGGTAGTTGTCATCGTATGTCTAGAGTCGACGATAGATTGTGCTTCACCTCGCATTATTAGCGCATCCAGCCTCGGCTCAGGAGCAAGAAGTGACATTTCCGAAGATACTGGATGGTGAAGCAAGAGCCGACTAGCTGCGGCTCGTGTCGGATGAAGACGCTGGTTTGATAGTGTGGCTGCAGTCTTGGGCCTGGAACTCCGGACACATCGGATATTAGGTATTTTGGCCTTCGGGCCCTCAGCGGCCAGCGACAAGGTACCGAAACCTGTATCAATTGTCTCATCTCCAGCATCACCTTCAGCGTAAACTTCACCATCCGCGCAGATAAAGTCGTTATCCAAAGCGTCAGGAAAGTATTTAGCTTTCATGCGAGCCTCAGTCTCTTCATCATCCAATTCCGGTTCAGAGCATTCGCTGACCCTTTCGTAGTCATCCTCGTCATCCTCATCTCCCTCATCTTCGTCGGCCTCATCTTCCCCCTCATCCGTTTCCTCGAATTCTTCGTCTCTTTCTTCCCTATGTTCACTCTCCCCAATCAATTTATGTTCCTTAACTCCTACCACCTCTTCCTCCTCCAAACCTTCATTTTTCTCTTCTCTATTTTTACTCCACACAGTGCTTCTTCGCTTTTTTTCATCCGTAACGCTGTCACTTTTTTTAGCCTCCTTGTAAAGCTCATAATCGTGAGAAATCAGGGAATCATTTCGAGGAGTAGTAAGTAGATGATAGACTAAATGATTTTCGTTTGCTATTTGAGTATCGGTAGGTTCAATAGTCAGAACCTGCAATTTTTTGAAAAAAATTGTTTGAAGAGGAAAGAGTTACAAATAAAGACCATATGAGGAAGAAAAAATGTATAATGTTTATGGAAATTGCTATTAGATACATAGCATCTAGGCTGTGAAAGTGAGGCAAATCATTAACATGAACTGTCATCTATAATCGTTGAGCTTATTTCCATTTATCTCAAGAGAAACCCAGTTTCTCTTCGTATCTAAAATAAATTAGAAGTATTTGGTGAGGAGATTTGCTGATTAACTCCTTGAATTCCGGCGAAAATGTGTTAGACTTTCGTCCGTCATATGATGGACATAACCAGAGCAGGGAATCACTCTTGCAACCATATTCAAGCTAAAGTCAAGAAAACTCACTGGTTAATCCCTAAATGCTGTATATATACCCTATATCTAAGCTCTTTGACGATGGTATAAAGCGATTTGGTTAGTTCGAGCCATGTGTCAACTCCGAAGAATGTGATGTGTGTATTTATGTTCCTTCATATGTTTGTATATATACGAAATCAACAATGATAGATTAAATTATTATAATAGAGCGCAACGTCTGTTCTAGGTAATAGGGGTCATTGACCACCACCTCCAGTGTTTCATTATAATTTAGCCATCACTCCGAATGTGCAAAGTCGGGCACACATACAGCTAAGATGTAAATAAGTTGCCGGTTGATTTCGATGGCCTCTCACATTTTTCGCTTAGCAGCAGGCATACCATAGCAGCAAAAGGACGATTTTTAGACCATTCAACCTTATATTAAGTTTCAGCAATGTTCTTAACTTGGATCTTTGAACCCAACAGCATCCATAAGCAATTTTGTGTTCAGACATTCTTTGTCGAATGGGACAAGTCTCTCAAACATAAAAATTAACGCATGAACGCATTGTAGTATAGCAACCTGATCTAGATAATGGGTCAAATTTTTCTATAAAATTGAGCATAACTG